GGAGGCGGCCGCACATCATCTCGTACATGACGACGCCCAGGCCCCACCAGTCCACGGCGCGGCCGTAGTCATTGTCCTCCAGGACCTGCGCCGGGGAAGACGGAGAGGATGGCACCGACGAAGCACACGGTGGGATGAGGAGGGAGGCGGGAAAACCCGACACAAGCCCTCCTGGAGCTGGGCACTGGGAGAAGCCCCCACAGAGCTGCTGCCGGCTCGGATCTTGGGAATAAAAAACGCTTCGGCACAAGAATTCCAAAAAAAAGCTGGGTTGCTGGAACACTTTCTGTACCTCCGGAGCCAGGTACTCGGGAGTGCCGCAGAAGGTCTTCATGGTGGCTCCGTCTGTGATTCCCTCCTTGCAGAGCCCAAAGTCGGTGATTTTGATGTGACCATCTTTGTCCAGCATGAGGTTTTCCAGCTGGAAAAAAAAAAAAAAAAAAAAAAAAAAAAAAAAGAAAAATAGGGTAGGAGAAAAAGCTTGCAGCTGAGCGAAGCTGGGAGCACGGGAGCGGGATGCTGCTCCCCAAAAGGCTCCGTGGGACGGCTGGGTTCCCAATCCATCGCCATGCGGCCGGTACCTTGATGTCCCGGTACACCACGTCCCGGGAGTGCAGGTACTCCAGCGCTGAAACGATTTCCGCGCCATAAAAACGGGCTCGGTCCTCCGTGAAGACACGTTCTCTCGAGAGGTGGAAAAACAGCTTGAGGGAAAGAAAAAAAAAAAAAAAACCAAACAAAAAGAGAACGGCTGATCAACAAGCGCTTAAAAAAAACCAAACAGTGAAACCCAAGTTAATCGCTCTCAGCGCGCAGCTCGTGAGTCAGATGTGTCCTAAGCTCCTCGCCTTGAACAGCAAAATGCTGACGGCCCCGCTCCGCTCTGCCGGGGATAAAACGCCAGAAATGTTTTCTGGGGGGAAAACACTGCCGCGCGCGGTCTGTGAGAGGGGCTGCGCCATCGGCTGCGTTCCCCCTCGCAAGGAAAGTGGGTTGGGGCAGAAAATCAAAATGGGAGGTGAGCGGTGAACGTAACAGAGACGGCGACAGCTGGAGGTGCTCCATGCCTCCCCCCGTGATGAGGAGAGCCAGGAAAAGCTTGGGGAGTGGTCTGCTTCCCATTCAGAGGGGAGACTACGGAATAAACCATCTGCCAACAAGCTGAAGACTGTGATTTAACATTTGGACCTTCCGAGCCCTAGCCCAGGGTCTTAGTTTCCCACCTCTCCACCGTTGGCGTACTCCATGACGAAGCAGAGCCGGTCGTTGGTCTGGAAGGCGTATTTCAGCGCCTGCAACGTGGGGAAAAAAAAAAAAGGATTTTGGAGAAACTGCAGGGCTCTGCGCTCCCAGAGGAGGCGGTGAGGGGCTGGGAAGGGTCACTTTGGGGTGCAGCCACGCGCCGTACTCACGGTGAGGAAGGGGTGCCTGGTGTTCTGCAGCACGCGGCTCTCTGTGACTGTGTGCGCCACCTCATCCTGCAACAGGAGGAGAAATAATAATAAGCATAATTCCTGGAATCCCCCAAAATTCAGAGCGCCGCAGGGGCTGGCCATCACTTGTCACCTTCAGAGACGCATTTTAAAAACCATCCTGGCATCCAGAGATTTGGACAATGACCTTTAAAGGTCTCTTATGACCCAAATTATTCTGATTCCCTCAGCCCTGCTGGCTCCTGACTCTTCCCTCGCCCTCTGCCCCAGCCTCGGCACGTACTTTGGCGATGATGACCTCTTTCCGGAGGATTTTCATGGCGTAATAGCGGCCGGTGGCCTTTTCCCGCACCAAGATGACTTTGCCAAAAGTGCCTTTACCCAGGAGCTTCAGGTAATCGAAATCGTTCATGGTCTGGGGAGAAACGGGGAGATGGAGCTGAGAGTTTGTGCCATGGGCAAGCAGGATCCGGGACGGGAAAAGGATTTGCCGATTTATTTCACTCGTGATTATCCCGGTGACGCCACGGGGATGGGGTTTATCCCATCAACTTTGCCCCAGCCTGCTGCAGTCCCTCCAGCAGCAAGAGCTGGAGCTGTGCCAGGGGCGACTTACGGCCTTGGCGCGGGTTTTGCTGACAGCCACCTCCATCTCCTCGGCGCCGGTGCCGTCGTTAGGAGATCCGCATTTGTAATCCATCGTGTCCACCTCCGGTTCCTCATTCTTCAGGCTGTTTGCTACCGTCTGGATGGCTTGCATCCACTCCTCGCTGCGGAGAACGGGGGGATCAGCAGCGCGGGGAGGTGGTGGGGGTCCCCGAGGGGACGCTGCCGCCCCCCTTCAGCCTTTGCAGGCAGACAGGAGTCGCAGCCATGCAATTTCAGGGTTCTTCTCCGGCTGGGATCAAGGCAACGCGCTATTTATCCCAGATTCCCAAGGGAAGGGGCCATCCCGCACACCTACC